TTCACGTGGGCCAGCATCAATCCTTGGCTCATACCTAAAACTGGTAAATAATCCCAGGGAAGAAAGCAGCCGATAATAAGCTGCTCACCTCAGGACTTTACCCCCCTCTGATTTTTAGTTTACTTAAACTGCTTTGCTTACACAGCTTTCTTATGTCTTTAAAATATATTCTCACCTATTTATCTGCTTTTTATTTTGTTATTATAGCAGAAATGGTATTCTGCCATGACCTACTATATCCTAGTTCAACACAGAAGCCTCCACGTCTGTGAGTGATTTCTTGATTCTGTTCCCTCCTTATCTGAGAGCATTTTATTTTCTCCTCAGTTACATTTTGAAGGCTGCATACTTTCTGTTAGCCCTCATTTTTCAGTAGCCTGAGGAGTGGTGGAGGCAGAAGTAGCATTCAGCCGAGGAAAGAGTTTGAAAATATTTCTGGGTTCTACACTCTCTCCTAAGAGTTTATTATACATTATATGTACTATAGGAAGGTTTACTCCCGGGGCGCCTGGGTGGCTCAGTTGGTTAAGCAACTGCCTTCGGCTCAGGTCATGACCCTGGAGTCCCTGGATCGAGTCCCGCATCGGGCTCCCTGCTCGGCAGGGAGTCTGCTTCTCCCTCTGGCCCTCCCCCCTCTCATGTGCTCTCTCTCATTCTCTCTCTCTCAAATAAATAAATAAAATCTTCAAAAAAAAAAAAAAAAAAGGTTTACTCCCTCTACTTAGCCACTATATCTCATTCAAATGGAAGGGGATCATTTGGATAACTTCCCCATTTCATTATGTGACATTGGAGGCTTCATTTGTGTAAGTGTATAAGTTCCAGGGTTCATTTTTCACATTTAAGCCACATTACTATCTAATTGCCACTTCTACTATTTCTCTGACAAGGGGAAAAAAAAAAAAGAATACACACACTTAGGTGGCTCCTCAGTTTGGCAAGTATTAGTGATAATTCTCAGGATTTGTCAACCCACTTGTAGAGTATCCAGGGACTGGGGCTATATTAAGTCACTAAGTCATGCTGTGCCTCTTCCCTCCGAAATCTTTTCTTTCCTTGGCCATCATTTTTGAAGTTATTGTATCTAATTGCATTATTCTTCATTGTTTGTTCTTGGTGAATGTTTTTGCTAGTTGTTACTATTTTATAGACATTTTAAGGGGAGAGAAATTCTATGAGTCAAGCTCAATCTACCACTTTAATTTGGATATACTCAGAGTTTTCTAAGACTCTAAACGTTAAACTTGGATATCTAATTAAGAATTTTCTAACACCATAAGCATTGGACTGCCTGACTGCTTACAAAGGTACCAGAGTTATAGCCAGTCTATTTTTCACACTACCTGAGCCCTAATTTTCACTGTCCCAGCTACACCATGTTTTAAAGATCCAGTATTTTCCTGATCAGTTCACTTAAGTTACTTAATTAATCCTGATTATTCTATGTATAATTGTATGTATATGGGCAAAAACATTAGACTCAGAATAAAGAAAAGACCTGTATATGTGACTTTCCAGTTGTGCCCAATGTGCAAACTGAAAGGAATAAACCTAATTAATTTATAGGGATATAAGGAGGTATCTTCTTGAAAATCTTTTAAGAAAGAGGTATGAGACAATAGCCAAACTATGGAAACAGCCTAGATGTCCATCAACAGATGAATGGATAAAGAAGATGTGGTGTGTGTGTGTGTATACACACACACACACATACAATGGAATATTATGCAGCCATCAAAAAATGAAATCTTGACATTTGCAACGATGTGATGGAGCTAGAGAGTATTATGCTAAGCGAAATAAGTCTATCAGAGAAAGACAAGTATCATATGACCTCACTGATATGAGGAATTTGAGAAACAAGACAGAGGATCATAGGGGAAGGGAGAGAAAAATGAAACAAGATGAACCAGAGAGGGAAACAAACCATAAGAGACTCTTAATCTCAGGAAACAAACTGAGGGTTGCTCAAGTGGAGGGGGGTAGGAGGGATGGGGTGGCTGGGTGATGGACATTGGGGAGGGTATGTGCTATGGTGAGTGCTGTGAATTGTGTAAGCCTGATGAATCACAGACCTGTACCCCTGAAACAAATAATACATTATATGTTAATTTAAAAAAATTTTAAAAAAGAAAGAGGTATGAGGATACTTGTATAAACTGCTTGGAATGGGGGGTGTGGGGAATGGGATGTAAACATTCTCTAAAGGTTCCTATCAAAACCATGAAGGTTCCAGAAGAACCTTCTGATTTCTATCACAAGGGAGTTTATTTGACCATCATGGACAAGTTTCCTAATAATCAATAGTAGGAAATAAAACTCGAGGACTTAAAATGAATATGGTTTTACAAGATTTTGTGATCAGAGGGGTATCTGTTTTTATTTATAAATGAGAAACTAAAATCTAAGAAAAGTTAATTTGCCCCATATAATAATGACATGGATACTTCACAATTACCATCTACAACATCAAAATTCTAAGTTCCCTAATATTTTTTTTTTAAAGATTTTATTTATTTTTTGACAGAGAGAGAGCAAGAGAGGGAACACAAGCAGGGGGAGTGGGAGAGGGAGAAGCAGGCTTCCCGCAGAGCAGGGAGCCCAATGCGGGGCTCAATCCCAGGATCCTGAGATCATGACCTGAGCTGAAGGCAGATGCTTAACGACTGAGCCACCCAGGTCCCCCTCCCTAATATTTTCTATTTTTGAAGTGCTCTTTCCAAGACACTATTTCAAGTGTAGATCATATAATCTTTCCATGACTAAAAAAAGAACTATATGCAAAAAGAGCAAAAGTAACCAGATAATACGACAAAAAGCTGTTAAACTACTTTTCCATAGTTACTTAGTAGTAAGTATTAGTAACATTTTTTGTTATTCCAACAAAATACTTTAGCTGACTATGGTTCAGCTGTATACCTGGCTAAACCAATTATTTTCACACTTTGCTTTTATAAAGACCACTGTACAGTAAAATACAATCATAAACACAAATTCCTTCCTCTCTCTATTGCCATTTTAGTGTCAGAGCCAAGTAGACTAAGCCAGCTCCACTATTAGGTAACGGAAGCAATGTAATTATAATCTCATTAGTATTTAACCATGGCTTTGCACACTGGCATAAAACATTTCATCGTAGTTATGAGATCTTGGATAAGGTGTTTTCTCAGGATTTTGGTCTCCACATCTATAAATGAGACTGTATTAGACAATCTCTCCTCTACTTCCCAAAACTTTCTAAATTAGTCTATACATTTTATGGTAATTAGCTGACTCTTAGTAGTTTCTAAAAAAAAAAAAAACAACCTTCTTATTCTTCAAATAGACTTTTTCATTTTGATTTACTTAATTCTAACAAAATACCCCAATGATCTTTTTAAATTTAAATTCAATTAACATATAATGTATTATTAGTTTCAGAAGGTAGAGTTCAGTGATCCATCAGTTGCATATAACACCCAGTGCTCATTACATCATGTGCCCTCCTTAATGCCCATCACCCCATTACCCTATTCTCCCATCCCCCTCACCTCCAGCAACCCTCAGTTTATTTCCTATGGTTAAGAGTCTCTTATGTTTGTCTCCCTCTCTGATTACGTCTTGTTTTACTTTTCCCTCCCTTCCTCTATGCTCCTCTGTTTTGTTTCTTAAATTCCACACATGAGTGAAATAATATGATAATTGTCTTTCTCTCATTGATTTATTTCACTTAGCATAAGACCCTCTAGTTCAAACTATGAAAAGATCCCAGATGTCCATCAACAGATGAATGGATAAAGAAGATGTGGTATATATATATACGATGGAATATTACTCAGCCATCAAGAAAAAAATGAAATCTTGCCATTTGCAATGACATGGATGGAACTAAAGGGTATTATCCCAATGATCTTTAAATGAAAATATTAAAGTTTGTCAGTATCCATAGCAGGGAAAAAAATTAAAGAATTTACACATTATATTTCTGGTTATAATAAAGTCCAAAGAATGGATTTTTTTTAAAAAGATCTTATGCCTTGACTATAAGTACTTATGTAATATAACAAAGGATTAACAAATTTTACTCATAGAAAAATTGTATAAAACACTTTGATGTATTCCACAGGTATTAAGTACTGACAACTAAAAATAACCAAAAGAAAGACAAGACTTATTAATATAAACTAAATGGGTTTTGGATATAAAACAGATGATAACTAAGAGTTCTGCTAATTGGGACTAACTTTCCAAATGGGAATATAAAGAGCATACAAAATAGAGTTCTCAAAGTTGTATCAAGATGAATAACTGTTTGATAATTTAAGGTAATTGTAAATTTTACATGAAAATTTTGTTGAACAAATGAATGAATTTCCAACCATAGAAGAGTATCTATATCTAGCACATAGTAGATGCTCAATAAATGTATGCCGAATGAGTTAAGACCAAGTTTCTTTTTGAAAAATAAGACCAAGAAAATTTTAAACACTTAAAAAACATATTATTGGCTCCTTACAGGCACAAATGTTTGAAATGAGGACAGGAAAACTTAGTTCAAATCAAGTAAAGATATAAAAATATAAAGAATAGGTCTAGTCAATGAACAATGTGAAATGTTCTTCTTGTCTTAATCTACAATTAATGATATTCTGCCATAATGTTTTCAGACAGGAACAAAATGGAATTTATATAGTCTCTCAAGATTCACTTTAAAATGTGAGAAATGTAAATGTGAAAATCATGTCTTATTTTCCCCTTCATTCACTGAATAGATATTTACTGAACACTTACAATAGCAAGTGCTTATTCCTTTCCTTATTTTAGGTCCAGCAAATGGAATAAGCCAAAGACTAATTAGCCAAGACTGTATAAAAGGAAAGTTTCTATATGTCAGTATCATAACTCATTTTCCATTTAATTCCTATTGTTCCATGTACAATGTATATTTATAATATCCAGTTCAGGTTTCTATATTTCTTCTATAAATAAAACCGTTTTTATGACAGTACATTAAACTATACCTTATTTTTTTTCTCTTGCATTGACTTATGGATGCGTTCTCTTAGGGGTTTCACTGATGAATTATTCACTTGTGTGGGAGATCTAAGTCCAAAAAAAGCAAAAATGTATAAACAAGAGTAGCTTCTTAACTTGTTTTTGCCCCTCCCTTACCCAAAAGCAGTAATAAAATAAAAAGACAACTAAATCTAGGTGTTTAAAATACTGCATAAAAGTGTCAGAATTACTATTGAGAGTTCTAAATATTAATAATTTGCTAAGTTAATTAATTCAGTCACTACATATTTGAGTTTCTAATATATGTAAGGCACTGTGCAAGATATTATGAAGGATAGAAAGTAGATTCATTCACTGCCCTGAATTCAGGCATCCTGAAGCCTAAGGAAATAAGATATCCTCACAACTAAAATTTAAAATAAAAAAGGACAAGTGCTGTAGCAGGGGAATTCAATACAGTTTAGAAATAGGACGGGCAAAGAAGGTACAATGGAGAAAGACACTGGAGCTTTGGAGCCAGACAAACCTGGATTCCTCAATAAATTCCTTTCTGGTTTAACAGAGCCAGAGTCATAACCTCTTTAACTCAAAAGACTGTTATATAAGAATAAAGGAGAGTCTATTCTAAGAACCACTAGTTTATAACCTTACATTGACTCATATTCATACACTACATTGTCCTTAATTTTATCATTTTAATGCAGACCACGAAAAAAATTCACTTTACCATGAATTGGCACTTGTGTGCACAATGACAATTGCAAATGCGAAGGTAACTGTAAACAATTGAAATATCTTTGGCCACATGGCTGAGAAAAATACTTCTTTAAAATGGATGTAGGGATTGGTTTTGTTTAATAAAATTCTATAAACACAAAATAACTTTCTCTTTAAAAAATGGTAGAATTGAATCTGAGAGAAAATTTAATCATTTATGTTTTACCTAAAAAGCAAACTTTGTTAAACAGAAGGTAAAAGAAGAAAAAACAAAGATTCATTTTCTTTCCACTTTTTTCGTAAATCATTGATAAAATAAATTTTTGTTGTTAGGAAAATATTTGAACACTTTTGAAGTAGAACATGGGTGAATTACATCATGCCCAAATATAAAAGCATAATCGTTGAAAGCTGGTGAAGAGATTTAAATAAACTGGAGGACAACACTGTATGACAAACCATTGCAAAGTTTCTCTTCAAAGAGAAAAATAGAAGAGAGCAACAAGTAGGATGACTTTGTAAAGTTTCTCCACAATGTATTAAATAAGATTTAAAATTGTTGTTCTAAAACTTTACATGTTTCTATAAATGAATGTTTATTAATGTAAAATATCACCAACCTACTCAATGTTTGACCTAGTTGTTGTTAAAACTGGAACGTATCAGTATCTTGCACCGAATACCAAAACTACTTTGGTGAGTATTTTTCTTCATAAAAGGAAGAATCAACAGATGTCAATTCCACTGTAAGTCTGGTGTATATGCTCTCTCCTGTTCTCATGAAGAGCAGCACAATACTTGGAGGACAGACCTGAAGTTCTGGAGCACAACACTTTTGCTACTTGCTAACTGTACTCTCTTAGGCAGATTACTTAATCTCTGTCTCTCAAGTGTCTAATTTTTCACTTATGAAGTGGGGCTGCTACTGAAGGATGTTATGAGGGCTGAGATAATATAAGTGAAAGCAGTCACCAAAGTTTTTGACATACACAGCAAAGGAAATAAATATTTCCAAAGCAAAAAACAAGCACAAAAAAAGAAAAACAAAAACACTGGTCATATTCTCACAAAATACTGTTTCTATAAAAACTTTCCCATATCCAAATGTTCAATCTCCCTTTAACTTTTGTTTTCTCTCTTCACACTTTCTGTAGTCTCCAAGTTTCTTACCATAATGTATTTCTTTTTAATCAATGAGGTGGGTTTTTTTTTAATTCCCTTTATAGACTAGAGTTAACATTCATATACATATCACTTCCACATTACTTACCTAAAAAGTGTAAGAATAGAAGTTCCATTATGATGAATTGTGTTTTCATCGTCATATAAAAGCTCTGCTTTGTTTTTGGTAGGCATACTGGCTGCTTCTTCATCCAAAAGAACTAGTAAAGTTTTCACAGTATCTCTGCCACAGTATGCAGTGCCATGGTTTATGGCATAAGATTTTGGCTAGAACAAAAAATACTACTAAGTAAATGTAACAATCACCAAAGTTGGGGCAATCAGCCATTCTTTTCCATTTCTTGTGCTGCTGTTCTCCTCCTCCTGTTTTAAGTTATAAAAAATCAACCATGCGAAATGGCTTTAAGGCATGAAATATTTCTCCCTCAAGTCATACTAAAATCAATCTTATCACCTTCCCAAAGCACAAAAAAATACAGAAAATAGTATCATCACAGAAAGATATTGATTCTGGTCAAGATAACATCTAGCTTTAAGTCAGAAAATTTAGTAACTATTTAACTATGTGACCCTAGCTAGCCTTATGACTTAGCCTCTCTGTGTATTTTTTCTTTCTTATATACCAAAGAGAGATGGGGTTCTGTTGATGTGAATACCAACCCTATAGATGGTTGTAAAAATCTACTCAAATGCAGGCACCTGGGTAGCTCAGTCGGTTAGGTATCTGCCTTTGGCTCGGGTAATGATCCCAGGGTCCTAGGATTGAGCCCCACATCAGGGTCCCTGCTCGGTGGAGAGTCTGCCTCTCCCTCTCCATCTGCCTCTCCCCCAGCTCATGCTCTCTCTCACTCTCTCTCACTCTCTCTCTAGTAAATAAATAAAATCTTAAAAAAAAAAAAAGATCTATTCAAATGCAATAATTAAAAATGAGTTGACATTCATTCATTCAGTAATCCATTGATAAGTACACACCAAGTCCTAAGCACAGTGTTTGAAGCTAAGGTTACAAAGGTAAAAACCACTGCCTCAAGGAACCCATAGTCCCCTTGATAAAATAAGTAAATAACCAACAACTGCATTACAAAGTACTAAGTGTTATTTCTAACAGAATGTATACATGGTACAAGAGGAGCACACAAAGGTAGTGATCAATTTACTCTAGAATCAAGGATGGCTTCATGGAGGAGACACACAGGGGTAGGAGGGAACATGGCACTTTCAAGGACCAGGCTAACATGATATAGCTGAAGAACAGGGCAACAGAGAGGGAGTTATGTGAGATGAACCTGGGAAAGCTCTATAAATCCAGCAAAGAAATTATAAATCAGTCTGTTACGGAGTTAAAGTCTTTTGCTTTATTAATCAAGAACATAAATGATCCTATTTAGATTATTAAAAAATGATGGCAATGCATAAAATACATTCCAGGGTAAGAATGTTATTAAGTCTGGAGACAGGACCACAAATTAAGAGACTGTAATAGTCCAGCTTGGAAATGAAGAAGGTAGTCGCAGTGAACTAAAATAATAACAGTGCAGATAAAGAAAAAGCAGGTTAAAAGAGGAGAGCTAGAAAAACTTAGTGACTAGACAGAATAAGGGAAAATAGATGATAATATAATATTATATGCAGACACATGTAAGCACAAACTCTGAAGATATCTCTAGCTGGGTTTGATACCAACTTACCAGTAGTATGTACTGTATAATTCTGGGAAAGTTCCTTAACCTCACTGTGCTTCAGTTAAGTCACTGGTAAAATAGGGGTAATGATAGAACGATAGTGCCCAACCCATACAGTATGTTAGACATTGCACCTAAATATTGAAGTTTCTGGGACATCTGTTTTAGCTGTGCCACTTTCCTCAGCTTTCATCTGAGGTCTTTCACATGGTCTTAGCCTCCCTTCTCTACTGGGCTGACCAAACTACTGTAGAGCTACACCAGAATTTTAACAAACTGCTTAACACAATAATGATTGCTATCACATTATATGCGCTTATCACAATAGTAACGGCTTATCACAATATATGTGCTTAACATATACCCTTCATCAGTACCAGAGAAAAAGCCCATATTGTTTAATATTAACTTACTGAGAATTATTGGATAGTATTTTTCAAAGATTTCTGATTTGGTTGATACGTAAAATTAAGAACCAGGTTGCACCTTTATTTCTTGTGACAGGAAATGGCAGAGACTGGGGCTCTTAATTACCTGAGGTATGACAGTTTCTGATTTAGACTTATAGTAACAACCTGGTTGTCATTTCAGCCAAGCTAGTCACAGGAAGCGTTAACACACATGAACACATGGGGCAACAACCCAGAATCTCCCCTATGTCCCACCTTCCAATTAATCTGAAAACATGCATTGTTACAGAAAAATAACTAAAAATCGTTCCCAAGGACCGTGAAAATAGATGAATAATAGATGTATAATGATAAATAAAATAGATGTATAATAATAATAGATGAATAATAAAACATAAGCAAAAGTCTTCATACACTGATTATCACAATCACACCTAAGGAAAAGGGGCTTTTGTTGCTTGAATTAAACTGCAACAAATGGATTATAATACATACTGCCAAATTCTTTTTTAGAGATGAAAAGGTGGTAGATAATTTCTCCTATAATACTATAGTTATTGTACTGTATACAATGTTTGTACAAAAAAAAAAGAAAGAGGTAAACATTCTAGGAATATATAGTTAAAAGATTTCTAAGTATAGGAGAAATTCCTAATGTTTGCAGTAGGCTAGTAATAGAGGTAGAAAACAACAGATCATAAAGATGAAAAAATTCTATTAAAGAAAAATAGGGCGCCTGGGTGGCTCAGTTGATTAAGCGACTGCCTTCAGCTCAGGTCATGATCCTGGAGTCCCTGGATCGAGTCCCACATCGGGCTCCCTGCTCAGCGGGCAGTCCGCTTCTCCCTCTGACCCTCCCCCCTCTTGTGCTCTCTTTCATTCTCTCTCTCAAATAAATAAATAAAATCTTTAAAAAAAAAAAAAAGAAAAGAAAAAGAAACTGAATAGAAACCATTTCTGTGGCTGTTCTACAGAGTACCTAGTACTGGGGCCAAAACGAGAGAAACCTTGCTCTTATTTCATATTTGAATAAGTGGCAAAAAATAATGGTTTCATAGGAATAATTATTGAAAAATATTTTAAGACACTTTAATAACCATCAAGAATTATAAATTTCGAGTGCTACAAGGGATGCTGCAGATTATCCAACACGCTACTTTAACAAATACAGACAATTTGGCCCAAAGATGTTATGATTTATTTCAAGTCAAACATAATCCTATATAATCCTATTGAGAAACTTAAATTTTCAATATCTCATAACACAGGAAAAACATTCTTCTGACTTAAGTAGCAATAGTAAAACATTTCTATAACAAGTAGAAGCGATAATGTTTTGTATAGAAGTATAATGAAAAATAAAAAGCTCATTACCCGTGCAGGACTGATGTCAGTGGTACTAACAGCTACTTCTCCTTGTTGAGAATTGATAATATTTTTAATCCTCAAATCCAAATCCTGAGTGACTTCCTCTACTGCTTTACAAAAAGGATCCCTGCTGTTCTGGCCTTTAATCAGTTGCATCTTTATCACTGAGAGTATCTGACCCCCTGCAGTGCTGAAAATAGAAATAAGATCACCTTTATAATAGCATTAGAAATGACAATATGCTTATAAGCTTGAAAATAAACTTCTCAAAGTTAATCAACACTTTTCAAAAAATATGACTTTGATCTTATAAATCAAACTAACACATTTAAGAAAAGAATGAGAACCATGAGCAACAAAATTAAAAAGTTTCTCTTAAAGCAAGTCATTTCAACAAAGTTACTTCTTCCCTGATTTGAAAGCTGAAGGGAAATATTTTAGTTATAGATGATACATAGTAAGTTTCAGGTGCAGTTATACACATATAATATACTTAAAATATGTACCTTTAGATACAAGGTAACAGAAACGCTACCTCTCATCGAATACCTAGAATCCTACATTACTTTAATCTTAAAATCATTTCAATAAGTATTATTATCCTTAAATCACAGATGAGAAAATTTTGTCTCAAAAAGGTTAAATAGCTTGTCCAAGAACACGAGCGTTCTGGGCTAGGAAGGAGGTGGTGAGGACTGACCTGAAACATAACACTGCATTCTAATATGAGAACTGTTATTAGGTGGAAGGGGAGATTAAGCTAGTTAATATTGATCTAAAGCAAACCAAAGACTGGACCAACTATGTCCAACAGACAAGTGTTTTAAAAAACCTGACATCAATTATTTCTTTATACTAAGCCTGAACCTGAATGAATTTAGGTTGAAGTTCCTGCTCTAGAAGGCTGACCTAAAAAAATGTGAGAAATATATAGGAAGAAGGATTTTGATCTATTGCAAGGAAGAAATTAGAGGTATCCAACAATAGAAGAGGGCTCTTTTTTAAAGTCAGAAGATCTCCATCCCTAGAGGTATCCCTGGAAAGGCTGTGCAGTGCTGAATGAAAAGGTGGTATGGCCTGGCTATAAGGTCAGACTGCCTGAGCACAAAATAACAGTTCCCCATCCCTTGCCTCCCCCACCGTCTACCTTGAGTATGCTATTTAACTTTTCTGTGACTTTTATAGTGGCATAAAGGAAATTATGAATTAGAGTTTTTATCCACATTGCCTTATTACCAGGTTTTATGTTTTGGGGAAGAAGCCAGGTTTCCTAACAAACACTGGAAATATGATTGTTCACATTCAAATAGTTGTTCCAAATAGAGAAGGAAAGTTAGAAGAATTGCAGAAACACTTAATGTATGATTAGACCAGTGTCTCCCAAATTTACCTGATTATCAGAATATATTCAGCATTTGTTTAAAATATCAACTCCAGATCCCACCCTGTTGAATCACAAACTGCAGAGAAGGGTACTGAACAACTGCACTGTTTTAAAAATACCACAGGTGATTCTGACAACTACACAAGCTTGAGAAACATTTCATTAAAAGGAAGGAAGGAAGGGAGGGAGGGAGGGGGAGAGAGAGAGAGAGAGAGAGAGAGAGAGAGAGAAGAAAGAAAGAAAGAAAGAAAGAAAGAAAGAAAGAAAGAAAGAAAGAAAGAAAGAAAGAAAGAAGGAAAGAAGGAAGAAAGAAAGAAAAAGAAACTTAAGGAGACTCCCATATGTTATCAACTCTAAATACAGCTGCTTTAGCCTTTCCTAACTCTTATTAAATTCTCAACTGACCAACCTTGACCCATAGGTAGGGACATCTCTACGTCCCTATTCAGCAGGAAGAAGCTACAGAAGATGAGACCTTCTGCCTCCAACAACCTTAAAGATTTAAGGGTCAAAGTTGTTCAGGGGGGAAATGATGAGGGAAACAGAGTCAAGAGAAATTTAAATTAAATCTCCTTACAGTTTGCAGCCCACTGATACCTGACACATGCAGAGTGTGACCTTCCTCAAGGAACTCATGGCCACCTTAGTGCCATAATGTTTTATTAAAGACTAAAAGTAACCTTATCTTAACAGCAGCTAGCCCCTCAAAGTCCTAAAAGGCTTGCTTCCAAATTCCTTAGAGATTTGCACTACCCCTAACCACCACTAATTAAAAAATATATAATCAGTCACTCCTCACAATCCCAGGGCAGTTCTTTCTGCCTACGGGTCCTGTCCCCATGCTATAACAAAATCACCTTTTTGCACCAAAACAAAAAAAAAGAGAAGAAAAAGAAAGAAAGAAAGAAAGAAAGAAAGAAAGAAAGAAAGAAAGAAAGAAAGAAAGAAAGAAAGAGCTCCTTGAGAAAGGAACAATATATTTACTAATCTTTATACTACCAGTTTATACTTGGCACACAGAAGAAAGCATTGCTACGTTTGTTGAATAAATGACTACTATCACAGGCAACCATCTAAAGTTTTTAATAGTAAGACAAAAGATATATATTTTACTATGACTATATTCTTATTTGTGATACAAAAGTACTTAGGGGTTTTCCACTTACACTATGGCAGACTAAATAAATACTCTGGGGGAATATCTCACCAAGTTTGGCAGCAATAGGGGGAAATCTCTAATCTCTCCCCAAAAAAGGAAAAAACAAGAGCTGGAGTGGAAAGTTGGGAGCTGTTACGTGGGAGGCAAGCAGAATGTATGGGTTTTCCTGAAGACAAAAATCTCTGATAGCACTTTGATCAGGACACAAAGCCCCGCGTGGGCGAGGGCAAGCAGAGAATTTCACCTTGAGTCTGAACCTTCTGATGGGGAAGGAACTACTATGGCTTTTATTAGATTTATTTTATGTATTTTATATTCTTGAAGCTTTTTTTTTAATTTCTATTTGGTGATGGCATAAAAATACAATTGCTTGTTGTTTATTGACCTTGTGCCCAGCAACACTATTAAACACTACTATTAATATTAAAAATTTGCCTTTACATTCCCGGAGTTTTCTACACATACAATCATATATCATCAAACAGAAATTTATTTTTTCCTTTTCAATTGTTATATCTCTTATTCTTTTTCTTGCCTTACTACACTGAATAGAACATCTGATATTGCGCTGAAAAGAAATGATAAGAGCAGGAACTCTTATCTTGTTTTATCTTAAGTAGAATGTTAAAACACTTTACCATTAAGTACAGAAACCCTTTATCAGGTTAAAGCCTTTATTCTTCGTTCATTTTACACAGAGTGGACAGCCCTGTAGAGTGGGAATGTTCCAATAGACTCTTCACCTTAGACAGTCCTTGGGCTTTGTCCTTGCACTCAGACTTAGTAGCCCTAAGAACAGACCTTCCAAATCACCAAATACTCTCAAAATAAAAACTCATTTCCCTTCTTGACTTCCCTCTCTGGCTTTCTTCCCTCCCCTAGTTTTTGGCCTGTATTTTCACTACATATGCCTACTCATCAATGCATTCAAGAAGTATTTTAAAAATATGCTATCCAGGGGCGCCTGGGTGGCTCAGTTGGTTAAGCGACTGCCTTCGGCTCAGGTCATGATCCTGGAGTCCCGGGATCGAGTCCCGCATGGGGCTCCCTGCTCGGCAGGGAGTCTGCTTCTCCCTCTGACCCTCCTCCCTCTCATGCTCTCTGTCTCTCATTCTCTCTGTCTCAAATAAAAAAATATATATATATATATGCTATCCAGCATTATTAACTATTCTCAGTGGAAGGGTCAACCAGGGGACCTAATCTGCCATATATGTGTAATCAGAAGTCTGAGTAAACTCTAAGAATTCTTTTATATATATATATAGGCACTTTCTTTTTCAATGTTTTTTTTTCCTTGATTTTCAATCAAAAGCACAGAAAGTAATTGGATGAAATGAAGCCAAAATGAAAACACAACACTGTGTGCTTTTTCTGCAAAGTAATCTAATGGAAGAGTTTTGGAAAAGACTCAAAAGGATAATAAAATATGAAAGAGTGTTATAAAGTCAATTACAAGAACAAAAAAAAATGCTTTCAGTGATATTAGGTAAAAGTCACCTTTGCCTCCTTTTCTCATTCCTTCTATAAGAACAAATACACTAAATATTAAAGATGATATGATTCCCTGACTGAATTATATTAGGAAGAAATTTAAAAGATTTGTGTTTCAGATACTTGCCAAGCTCAACATTTTGACCCTTGGCAAAATACCTCAAACACCAGTGCTACGACTAGTCTATTGCTATACATTCTCTACTAGGGGCAAATACTAGCTCTTCAAATATCTGCTCAGCAACATGGTGGCATAATCCAGACTCTTGCTTCTAGAGCCTGGAATCTCTGAAGTTTTAACTCAAATGACACCAGGACATTTGTGCTAGACCCTGGCATACAATGAATAAAATATTTTTAAGAGGTCACAACTGATCATGTGAGAAAGTGAGATACTGAAGGTATAAAGGGAGTTTGAGTGGGTGGGTAAGGGAAAAAGAGTTATTCAGGAAGGCATCCCAGAAGATACATTATGAGTACCTGGATAAACATTTATAGAAGAATTTAAGCGAAAAAGAGGTAAACTGCAGCTCCTGACTACCAAATGTATCACATTAGATCTCTGGGGCAGAAAAAGAAAAATAAAGCTAGTGAGGAAAACATAATTAAATCCCCAAGCCTGGGGGCACCTGGGTGGCTCAGTTAGTTAAGCGTCTGCCTTCAGCTCAGGTCATGATCCCGGGGTCCTGGGATTGAGCCCCCCATCAGGCTCCCACTCTGCATCTCCCCCTGCTTGTGCTCTCTCTCTTTTTTCTCTCTCTCTCTCTGCCAAATAAATAAATAAATCTTTTTTTGAAAAATCCCCAAGCTTGTATTAAAGCATAGTGACTGAAAAAGAGCAATAAGCAATAATACAAATAATTGGTAATACTCTAGTGTAATTATTGAATATCTTTACTATATGGATTGGCTTTCCCCTACCATCTTCAAGAATTAGATAACTATTTGCTAAAACATATCTTTAAAAAATTAAGTATGATTAAAAGTACTCCATAAGATATATCAAAAATGCTTCTAGAATATTTAAGATTTATTTATTTATTTGAGAGGGAGAGAGAGAGAGCACACATGGAGGAAGAGGGAGAAGCAAACTCCCCGCTGAGCAAGGAGCCTGATGCAGGACTCGATCCCAGGACACTGGGATCATGACCTG